CGCCCCCGCCAGCCCCCGTTCACATCCGAAATCGATCCGGTGCGTTAGGCGTTCGCTCGCCCGGGGGAAGAAGGGGGCAGCGCAGGACGTCAGACATTTTTGTCTGTCTGTGTATTTTTGTACGAGGAGAGCTTGTCCGGGGAGTTTTAATGCCTCAGAGGACCTGTTCTTCCTGCTTCCGGGCCGTCAGGATGCTGCTGCTGCTGCTGCTGGGAGAAAGCTGGATGTGGAGGGGGCTCTCCCTGGACATTTTGTCTTGTGTCGGTCAGCCTGTCCTCGCCGGAGGCTGCGGCCGACGAGGAGGAGGAGGAGGAGGAGAGGAGCGGGGCTGTGGGGGTCACTCCGGCTCTGTAAACGGTGAGTGTCCCGGGGTGCGGGACCGCCGGCCGAGGGGCGAAACGCCGTTCTTTCCCTTAGCGGAAAGACATCCAAATTAAAAACAAAAAAAAAATTTTTTTTTTTAGACCAAGCCAGCCTAAAAATCAGGACGGGCTCGCCGGGGAAGGAGAGAATAAAAAGGGCGGGGGTATTAGAAAGTTGAGAAAGTGTCTCCAGGCAAGTTAGACAGGTGGACCTGCCTGGGGAGCTACCGGCTAGCTCGGGGTAATAAAAAACGGTTAATAGGTTGGGGAACAACAACCAGCCTTTCAGCTGTTTCCTACTGTTTGATCTTGTTTAATATAACATTGGGCGAAAGGCAATTTAATTTACAGCCCAAACGCTTGTTTAATATCCTCCTCTCTTCCACCCCCTCCCCAAACAGAAGGACGGGGTATAATGGCATATTTGGGTACCCGTATTTCTGCACAAGCCAGTAGCCGGCTCTGCACCGCTGATTTTTCCTTCTCTGGTCGAGAGATTGCAAAACGACAGCGTTCGGTTTAGAGGAATCATTCGCGCAGGAGATGGTTTTTAAAAAATGAAAGCAGAGCATGCTCCAGGAAAAAAAAAAAATCTAAAAAAAAATTATAATGCGAACGAACGAAAAAAAAAAGAAAAATCTCTACTACTCCCCCTTTTCCCTGTGTATCGCAATTCTGGCTTGTATGTTTAGCTAATCTAATCTGCGGAGAGGGGCTGGGGGTGGGGATGGAAGGGAGGAGTTGGAAAGAGCTGAGATGCTTGTGACAGTTTAAATTCATGCCAGGTTTCAGTCTAATTTCAACTGATTCCGGCGTGTGATTTCAGTCCCACCGATATGCTAGTTAATATTTCATACCTATCACGGACATGCTGTAGCCTCGGATCTCCGAAAGGAGACAGAGCTTTTGAACGCGCCTCATTTTCCCTAGGCGTTTGCTGGGTTAGCACCCTTGTCTTCCTCATAGAGGTTCCCCTTACAGGAGAAACGCTAACAAAATGCCTTTAAAACCCACCAGTGAACCTCCCCCCCGCCCCTCCTTCGGAGGCCAGACCCTTCCCAAAGTTTTTCGCAGCCGATACCCAGCCGGGAGTCGGGGAGCCCGGAGGAGCGATTACGGCCGGGGCCGGGTTTCATTTCGGAAGTGAAAACGAGCGCTTCGGCTTGGGTCCCCGCCTTGCTTAGGCGCGGATGCGGTTCAGGACAGTTTATTACGTTCGATTAACTTACGATTTGCAGTTAATCATTTGCGTTTTGGGGTGCCCCTTAAGTACATAGGATATTATGTATGTGCATGCATGGATATACATACACACACACATAAAATACGTGTGTATTTCATGAGGGAAAACGGGTTTAATTCGGCATCCTCTGCAGATGTGGCTCCCCCCCCTCCCCCCAAGTCCCGCACCGCCCGAGAGGGGAAGAGGGACAAAGGAGGAAGCCGGGGCCGGCCCGTCCCGGGGC